CTAGCTGGTATCACTGTCCCTGATTAAAAAAAAATTCTGGTTTCCAAGTAATTCATTTTATATAATCATAACATAGTATATTCAATCATATACCAGTCTTGAGTGTCATTTGTTTCATGCTTGAGTCAGATGTAGTCTATAAAGGTCCATGAAATGAACCCAAAGATCCCATTTGGGTTTTTTTGTAACTATAAAGAAGGAATTAAGAAAATTCTTAAATGTAGAGTATGGTATAAATATCAAATTTAAGAAGAAGCCTTTCAGTTCTACTCAAGGTAATTATCTCTCGATCAAAACAGGAGCACAAAACTGTCCAGAGCAATTTGCTAAAACAACATGATTGTTTGTAATAACTACAGTGTTTATAGAAGGATTAAAACAAGGCCTTTTTTGTTCTTGGATTTATAATTACATATAATAAACTTAATAATTTTACAAATTAAACTGAAAAGAAACTTGAATTGGAAAACTTCAGTTTTATACAGCCAGGGAAATGTTTCAGAATGCTTATGGGTATAATTGGACATGGAGTAGTGATACATTCTGAATAGTTAAATTGCAATTAAGACATATTCCATATTATTCATCTTCTGTTTTTATGTTTATTTTTATTTTTGAATTTTGTATAGGATTGAATGAATTAAAGAAATAAAAAAACAATAACTTTGTATTTCCCAGTATTTCCCAGTTCAGAGAAAATTTGTAGTACTTCCCGGGACGGGAAATACCGGTATTTACCACTGGTAATTCCCACCAATAGTATTTCCCGGCCAACCCTGATCATAAGCTTTTGAAAATTTTCAGCTTTTTCTCTGGAAACACAGAACATATTTCAACAGATTTTGTAATGTAGCATTTGTTGGTAAAGGGGAACAAAAATTGAATGTTTTGGTCCTTACCCTTCCCCCTCTTTTCCAGGTCCTGAGGAATGGGGTTGAAACCATAAAAAATGATACAATATATAATAATTTTCTTCTTTACCTCTGAACATCAAGTAGTCAAACTGTTTGCATGATTATAATATACAATGGTCAGGGGTTCTAGTGTTAGGGTGAGGCTCTATTGATCATATAGTGAAAATGCCTAAATTCTTTCAAAATTTCTCCTCTGCTTCTGATTATTAAGTGTTATAGGCAAGGATGCCTCTTTAAAAATTCTGAAATGTGTGGCTCCCTTAACAAAAAATACTAATGTAAAAAAACAACAACTATAGTTTATGTTAGTTAATTATAGCAACAAAGTTTTTACTATAGTAGATCAAAGTTTTAACTATTATAGTAAATCAAAGTATTTTTACTAGAATTTCAAGTTGTTATATTTCATCTTTTTAAAGTCTTACATGTATTTTTTTTTCAAATTAAAGGTCAATATTACTTTATATCAGATAAATTTCTAAAATATTCATCGTTTGGTTATAATTAGGGATTAATAATGCCTTGAATCTCAATGAAATATTCAAGAATAATATTTCAGAAGTAAGTCAAAGTATCAAAGTATTAACTATAGATTACTATATTAATCTATAGTAATTTTTAGTTAGGGTCCTGGGTCACATCTTATGGTGTAAGGGTGGGACTCTATATTAATCATATACTAGTATTGAAAATGCAATTTTTTCTTTGAAAATCTTGTTCTATGCTCTTGGGTAACTACATGTAGGAGGCAAACAAATTACAAAGTTGTATTTAGCAAGGATGTTCTACCCAATTATTATCATATAATATCTCGAAAAGTGCTAAATGTAATCTACATAATACATATCATCTACTTTTAGACAGTTGTTGCTATAAAATGAATTGGAAGCATACCTTCAATAATGTGTAAAGTGTTGTCTTACCACAGGTTGTTGTTGTTGTTGTTGTTGTTGACATACTGTAGAGAGTAGTTAATTTGTAAATACTTTATGTATGAAGCTTCTTATTAGTGAAAAATTGTCACTTTTCCTCAAATGCTGAAACATATCTTTTTGAAGTAATTGACGCTATTAACTAGAATGATGACCCCTTCAAATGCTGTGCATTTTCCGCAGATTGTGGCTAATACTTATCACTCACATTATGTTTTTATGCTTCCTCTTTCCAGCATATTAAATGAACAGTAACCTAGAAAACTATACCTTAACACGTGTAATGTGTTGAAATTGTTGTTTAGTTGTAATTCGTTTTAATTCCAAATTTCACGATTTCTCAAAAAGTACCAATCGCGATGGTTTTAATTTTCACGCTGCGAGAAATTAATTTAAATTTCGTTATAAGCATTTAAACGTTAAAAACTAATGATATCATTCACGATGGATTTAATTTCGCGGAAAAACGATGAATCGCGAACATAGCAAAATTAAAACCATCGTGATAATTTGCCAATCTACAGTATTAAGATCTTCCGACATCATATTTGCTTGTTTCTTATCAAGACGCACCTTTGATGCAAATTTCATCGAAATCGGAGACATGTCGTCTCCAAGCTTTTCTGGTGTTCACTGGAGAAGCATGTTAAGATATGATTTTTTTTATTTGTCCTCTTTAGCTATTGCCTTTTGAGACACCTGAAATAAAATGTCGGCTATATTGAGACTGAAATGATTTGTGACACGGATCTCGATAGAACGATTATTTGATCAAAGTTTCTCTGGTTTACACACGACACTTGTATTATCGATAATATCAAGTTATCTTCACGACAAAGGTAATCCTTTTTGAGTTCTTGTACATGTATAAAAAATATGAATACTGTACAAAAATCAAAATGCCCAATGGTCACTGTGCTCACGTGCTAACCTTTCTGATAAAGAAATATATGGATAATAGATAAGTGAAATCCCTAATAGCAACCATCAACCTAACAACTCATGATTTCATCAATTTTATATTTTTAAATGTACATGTATCTTGATACTTTAAGTTAAGCATACTTTTTAAAGACATGTTGTTCTTACAAAAGTTTTTTTGTCACTGCAAAATTCTTACTTTTACACTAGGCCCATTTCAACTCCGGAGACAAGGTCTTGAACAAACTAAAATATGCATTACATGGGATATCTGCTTAGCATTATGTCTAATTGCACGTTTTTTCTTCATGATAAATACCGGTAGATTTAACAGATTTTAAAATTTCCATCTCGTAATAAAAAATCGAATCTTCACTAATGGAGGGATGCACGATCCTTTATTTAAGCCAAGCATGATGCTTGTGCCAAATTTGACTGGCATTTGCCCAGTTAGTCAGATCCCTTAAGATTTATAAGATTAAAGGTACCTGCTTTTTCGTCTATATCATGCAAAAATTGTTTGACAACGTCCATAAATTTGCGCAGTTACTAGGTATGAAAAAAATCACTTAAAGACATTTAAAGACAAAAAGTCCATGGTTCACAACGGTTACTCGAGACCACTTAGCAGGTCCCTTTTATCATTTGTTATATCACAATGGAATTAAGGATGTATCAAGTTCAGCTGTGGTAAAAAGATTTTTTTTTTTATTTTCAACGAAATTAACCTACATCATTTTTAACAAAATCAAAATCAAGTACTTTTTATTTGAAAAAAAAAATGTAAATTGAACAACATCACATTCAGATTCGATTGCCTGTTATATATCAATTAGTAAAGAAGTGTTTTTATGATATAATTCATTTGCAATATATGACCAACTTTGACTCTCCCTGGAGCCTGAGCCCTGACCCCAGGGGACATGAATTTCACAGTTTAGTAAAAGGCTCATTGCTCATTATAATCATGCTAAAATTTGACTGCTTGATGTACAGGCTAAGAGAAGAATTTCGAAGGTTACATTTTCATAGGTTTGGTAATATAACTTTGGCTATAGGGATGCAGTGACAATAAACTTTACTCTCTTTGTTCCCTTTAACCCAATTATATGCAATATACTGAAATATACTAAAATAAGTTGGAATTGTTTCTGTTAATCAGCAGTTCAAGAAAATAAACTGAAAATATCTAAAAGTTTACTACTACTGGCGGAAAAGATAAGCTCGTGACTTTTCACATTAACATTTTAACTCAAGGGTAAAATTCAATTCAAATTAATTGGACAATGGTTTTGAATTAAAACTCTTTTATAGCTGATTGAAAAGAGTCCAAATTTTAGTATGGTGTGCCCATGATCTGAAGATGAATTAATATGATTGTATTCAATATGATAAATAAACACTTGCTGAAATTTTCAGCTCAGTGGCGCATTATTTTTCAATAAAAATTCCACTATTTTATAGTACAACTCTCGTATATTTGCTTGATTTTAATCTTTAACGCATGAAATATTTTATTTTTCAAAACTCAACGGAATAAATTTTATCCGTTGAACGCGCTTTGTCCCTCTATGACGTCACCGAAAAATTACGCCGACATTTAATATGAAGCATCTGAATTTATTTAAGAAATATTTACATTTACAATTGTTTTCTTTTTTATAACACTATTAAAAGCAACGCGTATCTATATACGTAGAAACACGGGTTCCTCGCGTCATAAACGTTCGACGTAATTTCTCAGTGACGTCATAAAGGGTCGACGCGTAATCAATAGATCAAACTCGTGCCGTTGAGTTTGAAAAAATAAAACATTTCACAAGTTAAAGGTTATAATCAGACTAATATATAATATGAATGTCACAAATGAAAGTATAAGTAATAAGGTATCATTTTAAAACATCTATGGGGATATAAAAACGGGTTGGTACGAGATCAAATTTACCATAAAACCCGAAAGATGTTTAAAAATGATATCTTATTTCTTAAATAAGGTATAAATTTTTAAACATCTTTCGGGATATAAATACGGGTTGGTCACGAGATCAAATTCCATAAAGTCCGAAGGGCTTTATGGTAAATTTGATCTCGTACCAACCCGTATTTATATCCCGATAGATGTTTAAAAATGATACCTTATTACTTATATTTACATTTTTGACTCATTTATATTTTATATTTGCCTGATTGTAAATTTTAAGGTGTGAAGTGTTTTGTTTTTCAAACTCAACAGACGTGTTTAATCCATTGATTGCGCGTGGACCCTGTATGACGTCACTGAGAAATTACGTCGAACGTTTATGGCGTGAGGAACCCGTGTTTATACGGATATAGATACACATTGCTTTCAATTGTGTTATATAAAGGAGACTTCGGAAAGCAATTGCAAATGTAAATATATAGTGCAGGGATCGACATTAACGGTTGTCCGATTGCCCGGGACAAGTAAATTCTTAGTTCGGGCAAGTGAAATTGTCGACATACTTGTCCGATCGGGCAAGTGAATTTTTCTCATACAAATGTACATATTTAGTTTACATTAATTTATAAATAAAACAATAGATTGAACACTTGATTCCCCCCCCACACCTGACTGACAATGTTCTCAATCGAAATTTCTTGGTAGCGTTTCTGGATTATACCGTTCATTTAAAAAATCGAGTTCGTTATTTTCTTTCGTAGTAAATACGCTCTACGTCTAACAAATTTTGTTAACTTCTTATTTATTTATTTATTTATTTATTCACGCACAGAATATAAGTACGTTGTAACACGATGTATCCTGATCACGATAAGAGGTACTAAGTATGTTTCGTAGCAACTATCTTCCTTCAGCGTTGCTTCACAGTTATCTCTGAGAATCACGAATCGCAAAATGATCCTACCGCAAATAATTTTCAAAAATATGAATTTTATTAAAAGGAAACGGAGGGTTATTGCTGTATGGCAGTGTGTGTTAACAGGTTATATTTACAGCGATATACGTTTTTGTACAATTTTTTTCAGGTATCTCAAAATGCCAAATTGACAGTAGTGTATTTCGTCACATTTTTTTTTCTTTCCATAACATTTACAGTAATTAATAATTTTTTTCTTAACTTCTATCCTAATTTTGGGCAACCAAGTTTTCCATTCGGACAAGTCAAAGTTTGAGATCACTTGCCCGAAGGGCAAGTGAATCTGAAAGTTAATGTCTATCCCTGTAGTGATATATACTTGTTGCTCAAATATACAGAACATGTAATGTTATAAAAGAGAAAACATATGCAAAGGTAAAAATTATAGTTTCATAAGGGTTTGATGACGTGTCTTGATTGTAATTAATGACTACTGGAAATTTGCTTTACTTGAAAAAAGGACAATTTTTGGAAAAAATTGTTAACTATTTCATGTTTTCATTCTTGTTCATGAATTGTTTGTTTCCTTCATATAGAAAAAAATTCCTTGGATATTTGATACAGAAATTTGGCAACAATTACAGTAGTTTCGAACAATATTGTTACTTTTTGCACTGGCAAACATTCAAAATAAAAATGTTTAAAAAGCATAAATTTAAACAAATTTCACTTGTACATTTATTACATCGATAGCTTAATTGATGATTAAATAAATATATTTGTGGAATACACTTCATTTCATCTAAAAATTGAAACAAATTTGATACACATATATCCTTATGTCGGTGAAATATACAGAATGTTTGTTGTAATAATTATCGGTATCAATTTCAGATGTAAAGACAGAACATGCAATGTAGTGGAATAATTCAACTGTTGGTAACGATAATTCACACTGTGATAATAAATACTAATGGAAACCCAGGAGGTAAGTATGGAGCAAAAGTACCAGGTAAAGTAAAAATTCTAAATACATGTATATTTATACTCAATTTAATGAAATAATCAAAGAACATTGTAATACGGTTTATTAATCGATCTTACAGACAATAAAATTACTTTGCTAATTAAATGACCATTATCTCAACATCTGGACATAAATTATTTCTTAAGTATTTGTTTAAGCTGAGATATTTTTACTATCCTTTGTTAGATCTCTCACAAGGCAGGGTTGCAATTGTAAGCCTTTAAATAGGAATTGTGTTTATATGCATGGGGAAAAACATTACTCAAAACACAAATATATAATTGTAATGCCATCATGATGTTGACATTATAAGGTCATAATTGTACGACAGCAATATCCGACTATTATTTACTCTCTGTGACTTGATAAGAGAACAAAACAATGTGTCTACGCATTTACAAAAGCACAATTCAGATCACAATGAAATCTGGTACACAAATAGTCTTAAACATGTTCTATAAATAGCATATTTTACGTAATGTTTAATACATGTTTATGATGTCACAATGCGAAAATGACGTCAATATGTAGGTGACTTGTGAGGAAAAAAGAGTGACTCAGTGTTACTCGAGCAAACAACTCAATGTAATTGCTAAATAAAAAGTGATGAGGCAGAAAAAAAGAATCATTAACTAATACAGATTACAAATCCGTATATCTTTTATTCTTAGTGTTAAATTACTAAGGTTACATGAAGCATCAATTACGCAAAGCAGCTAGTTTTCGTGCACATGATTGTAAAGAAAAATATATTCTAAACTTTCAATTTCCTGTGATGTTCATATTCAATTAGTTGGAGGTTAATTAGGGTCACAAGAATGAAATATGAAGATTAGGAACAGTGATCGGACTGAAAAATCCAGAGGTGGGATCAGGTGCCATGAAGAGATCTGATTTGCTTTCATATTGTTACTTGCAAAGATTTTTGATAAGCATTGGAGTCATTTTTCTTTTTCAGTATGTCACATTGAGAAATATACATTAGAGGAGATTGGAATACCAGAAGGTATATATAAGAGACTTTTTTTAGTGTTGTGAAGCAAACACAACAAATTTGTATCTGGTTGTAATTCATGGTCTCGGGACAACAGTTTTATTTCATCTGTTTCACCCTATTTACCTCATATATGTAAATTTTAATGTTAAATATTATAATCATGGTGGTTTTCTTCATGTAATTCTTTTTTTAAATATTAGCTTCTTGCAGTTATCATTGGGAAAAAAACAATTGAATTTTGAAAGTCCTTCATTTTGTTTTGATGGAGCTTATTTCAACCCATTTAGTTAAATAATGAAGACAATCAAGCCTCTTGCATGTTTTAGACGGGGCTTCTTTAAAAGCTCTCCAGCTGTGTTTTCCTATATAATATACTTAGAGTGTGCAAAAATATTTTGGACAAAAATAGGGGAAAGATATATACAGGTTTTATTTGGAAATCAAGCAAATATTAATTGATTATATCTTATAGCTTATTGCATCATAATACATGTACAAACAGAAAAAATCATCGTATTTCATCTGACCTGCTATAAAAAAAAAATTCAATGCACTCATTGTTAATATCAATTTGCGTCAAACAGAATTTTGTCTTCTAAACTTGAGATTTATGGAGGACAAGAAAGTGTGATTTTCAGAATTTAAACATATGAAACTCGTCGTTAAATATAAAAAATGTGCAAAAAAGAGGGGTGGGGTGATTTAAATGACAATGGTCATATGTACATATATGGAACCTCTATACCGTCATGTAAATTGTTCCTATTGTAAAACATGTGATTCCTTTTTTTAATCAGAATTTTTCCTATAGATTTTAAGTTGAACTACATTGTGTATACTGCTTTACAGTACCGGAGTTTTTGAAACAAAAAAAGGAGACCTACCGCTGTAGAGGCACACAAGAAGGTAAATAAAAGTCACTTTTAATTGGTTCACAAGTATTCTATTAAAGCAACAATAATGTAAATGTTTGTTTTAGAAAGCATACATTATTTTTCAGGAACTAAGCTGTTATATTGTGAGAAAGAATTCATACTCCCTAAATGCATATGTAGCTATCATCATGTTGCTAACAAATCTAATCACGATTACACGGCATGTGGAGATAACTCTAAAGAAGACAGCATACGGCACATGACATGTAAGTAAATGTATTGACATTGAGTATATCAATTATGAAACATAAGATTTAAAACAAATGAAGCAAAGCGGAACTTTTACAGTTACATTACTTTTTAAGTTTTTTAATGTTCATCCCTTACAATGTATGTATACACAAGTAGGTACATGCATTTAATATCTTTGTAAACGATCATTTTCATGTTCCTGACACAGACCATTGTTATGTTCTCTTGAATCTACATGTACAACGTCTCTCAATATTATTTAAGTGCTTGTCATTCTGCTTAAAGTTTCAACTCTGAATTCAGAGACTATCTTCGGTATTTCTCAAGAGCAAGCTATTATTTGCTGCACCACATGCACACTATTAAGAACTTCTGTAAATACAATCTGTCTACTGCTTCAGTCACGTATACAAGATATTTTTACATTCAAAATGTATTTTTTGTTTATAAAATACACCATAACAAAATGTCAAAGGTTAAGTTATATTGTAGGGATTTTGAAATACTAGTAGTCACATTTGCAGATAAGGCAGTCAGTTAAAAAATGTAACTATGTTAAGGTATTGAATTATTATTTTTATAAGATGTTGTCTCATTACTGCACCTTTTTGTGTAAACAATTTTTTTTTATAAAACGCTAACGCGCGTTACTCAGTTTCTTTACACACGTCGTTCAGATATGAGACTACGTCTTTCCAAAAGAAAAAAAAAATCAATGCTTAAGAGAACACAGCCACATCGTAAACTGCTATGTTATGGTTCTCGATAAAATTAAGTGTCTAGGAAGTGAAATGATGTATGGATAAATGGTGGCGAATAATAGTCTTCACTATTGGATGAGACATTCATTTCCCAATTGTAGTGGATTTAAAATTCTTTAATTTTGATGTAGTTTCGTTAGTTAGTTTGTTATTTTTTTAACGTCCCTCTTAAGATTTTTTTCACTCGTATGGAGACGCCACCACTTGCTGGTGGAGGGCTACAAATTTTAGACCTATACTGGGCACTCAAGGCCACTGAGCAGTGAGGGATCATTTTCGTGCCAACACCTACTGCAACACGGGGCTTCAGTTTATACGGTCTCATCCGAAGAACAGGTCTCCACGTCCCGCATTGGGATTCGAATCCGCGACGTACGGATCAACTCCTTACAGCGCGACTCCAGAGAAAACGCTCTAACCACCACACGGGCTACTCTGATGTAGTTAAAAGTCCTTTAGTCCTAAATACGTATGGTAGTAATTACAATAGCCTGTGCAAAGGTAGATGTGAAATATGTCGGTACATGTTGTCCCCGCAAAATCCGCAACAAGAGGTTAGGGGAGGGCCGAATTTTATCTTCATTTTGATGAAATTCCTGCTTAATGACATCTAAAACTCTAGCTCAAATATTAAACCAATATGAGAGCCTATGCAGATCATCATTTATAGAAAATTCAGTCGCGTATGAAATAAAATATACACAGTTTTCATGCTACATTAAATGTGGTCGTTCAGAAGCTTTATGCTTTCGTCAACCATGATCTAGAATCCGTTGTGGCTATTCGAGGTGAAATTAATATTGCGGAAATCTGTGTTTCACAGCATTTTAGCATAATAAATGATATTTCTATGAAAAAGTAACGACGTCAGGAAATATGACGGATATTGTGATGAAATAGGCGAAGATAACGAACAATGATTGATTTCTAAAACCTACAAACAGTACACAGTGAACAGGCATAAAACCAATTCTAGGGGTAGTATCAGCTAGGTGTATAGGAGGAGTGATCGCCTCCTGTTGACCGGTCACACCCGCTGTGAGCCCTGTGTATGGATTAGGTAGACGGAATAACCCCTATAAAATTTAGGATGAAAACAAAGGCCTTACAATTGGTATGAAATAAGTCCGTCACAGTGGGACCCAATAATAGGTTGTATTTACTTGTAAGGTCATTACAGAATGTATACAACGACCAAATAATTCATAAAATGTTTACTTTAAACGAGGCTGTTGAAATCACTGTAATATCACTTATTTGTCAGTATCCTGCTTCGGTTTATACATTGATCGAACTCTCTTGAGAATCGAATATTTTGGGAGACATGAATACCTTATACAGGTGATAGAGGAATATTACTATATAATAAGAGAAGTTGAGGATGGAAAAGCTGAGGTCATCTCGTTTGTCATACAGTTTAGTTGTTAGTTGGCCCTTATCGTCTATAGTCAGTAAATCATCCAAATATAAAACATATGTTGCAGACTATGGTGTCTTTTATTTAAAGAATCACTTTCTTTTTTTTTTGGTATGCCAGAGCATCTACGACAGTTGGAAACTTGGGGTAGTTTGCAGAAAACCCCGTTATGCAAATTATCCCATTTTTCCACCTTTATGTATCGTTGATGCCATTACAAATAAAAAAAACTAGAAAGTGATTCCTAATATTTACATTTATACGTGAAACAGAAATGTAAATATAAATGAAAAATGCTGTCTAATAGAATTAAGAACACGAGGCATTCCATGTTATTTTCCACGTACTGGCGTAAGCCGCAAGAAATTGACATGCATATTAGGCACTCGAACTTTTCAAATGTAAAAATTACATTCAGTTGTAATTATCAAGAAATCAACTTAATCACTTTCAAAAAAAATATCACAGAGAAAACGGGTGGAAATGTAAATATTTCGAGTTCACTGAGATATATATGTATCGAGTTGACCATTTCGTACATAGAATATTTAGAACTCGTTTTATTATGTAACACTTTCTTCTCAAGAAGCATTATGACATGACCGGTTCAAACATTTAAAAAATGTTTTTTTCTCTCTCTCTCTCTCTTCATGCGCTTTGCAACTTCATCTTTAAAAATGGTCAATAAAAAGTTGAAAAGTGAATTTTCTACAAGACATCCAAGTTCTTAAAAGTGGAAACGAAATGCATATTAGAACATGGAAACACAGCCACGGCTTACCACTTTTCAATAAATTAGAAGTCAATTCACAGGGAAGAATGGTTAGAGAGCTGAAATAGTCGAGAAAAGAAATGTTTGCAATAAGGATATTACAATTTGTCTAAAAGCAGCGAGGGAACGACTTTTAAAATAGTAAGCAGAATTTTGTGAATAGGAACGGCATCTAGGGATTTCCGGTGGAATTATTATATCCATTCTTACTGTTGTCAAAGGAATCATCACTTCCAAAAAAAAAATTGCATTCACTTATATAATTACAATGATTTATATTTCATATAGTTCACATATTTGACTTGTATTAATTTTGTTCATGTATGAACAGGTTAAAAGATCAATCTTAATAAAATAGATATTCACTAAAATACTGAGTGAGTTCAAGCTAAATCTAATCATTTCAAAACGCACAACTTATTCGCAATCATAATTTACATCAAATTTTTATTCCATACAAACGTAAACATATATATATATATATATATATATATATATATATATATATATATATATATATATATATATATATATATATATATATATATATATATATATATACGAGTATATGTATATATATATATATATATATATATATATATATATATATATATATATATATATATATATATATATATATATATAATTATTATTAATATAACTAAAAGCGGTATTAAACAGTTCTTCTCGTGATTTTACGTGGATATATATTTCTCGTGGTTTAGAGGAATCTACAATATCGAAAATAATTAAACACGTCAGATTTGCTTAAAAAAAATGACAAGTTTTCTTTCTCCTGCTTACACACATTGTTGTTGCTATTTTCCACATCCCAAGATCCACAAGTATTTCCTGTTTTTATTGCTAACACCAGTATTACATAAGTTCAAACTCTACACTTTCACTGTGAAATGTAGTGCCATTGATGCTTTACTAATAATCAATCCTTTTCTTGTACTTTTCTGACATTTTTAAAATGACAGGTGCAAAATGTAGAGACTATAGTATCAATCAAACTGGGCCTTGTTTGAATGGTGGAAAAGTCAGTTGTACATCTGATGACGAACTGGCTGCTGATCTGTTCTGTTCATGTCCAAAAAATTACTCTGGGACATTTTGTGAAAAAGGAAATGTCACGGTACGTTGTGTTTTATATTTAATATTATCTTGTTTACTCGTATTCTTTAAATCAATCTGTTATTCAAAAGTATTAAAACCGTTTTAACGCAAATATAATCGTTTTAGTCATACAGAATTTGTCACGTCGAGCTACAAGAATCAAATCTACCTAACTGTCACGATCGACCGGAGGAAGTTTGTAAAGTGGTTACTGCATCCAAAAACTTCACTTGTCCTTTAAATTCATCTGAAGGTAAATGACAAATTTAAAAAAAAATTAAAATATTTTTTATTAGTTTGTATAATAAATGTATTATATTTTCCATATTACAAGATATAAGTATGCTAATCATATGACTAGAATTTTAAGAAGATCGAAATGCGTTTTTAACTCCCATATTTGTTCTTGAAGATCTTAAACGATTAAATATTTTACTTTTTAATTCTATAAGACTAGTAACCGATATAAAAGGATTATTTGATAAAATTATTTCTATTGCAAACTTATAACTATTTGTAAAATTTTCAGAAAAATTACATCAACACTGCAGCTCGATGTACGATTTAGTATCGAATAATTCGAAGGCACCAGAAAGACACCAAGTGAAAACTGTAAACTCTAGCAGCTTCCTTCAGGAGACATTTATTACTCTTGTGTGTCTTACTCTCCTACAAATTACTCTCAGCAGTTGATCTTTACGACGTGAAATCCATTGATAAGACTTTTTAAAAGATAAAAATGCTCATGAAGACTATCATATAATGAAGTGTTCCCGATGGATTTAGCGAAATCTTATTTTTGTACGAGAAATGTTGTGTCTGAAATTCATGCAGGCAAAAGTAAAATATTTGATTCAATAAGAAAAGAATACTTAAAAAGAATGTTAAATATTTATAAGCTCTTCAGATCGGTCTTTAATTCAGAATATTATTTGTATTGACAGTATATATGTCTCTATAGAAAGGTACAATGTAACTTACTTGTACATGAAAACATTGTAATAATGATTTTACGTTATGTGAGCATTATGACCCTAAAATATATTTACAAAATTAAGTCCCAGAAATTGACATAAGACGTACAATTATTTTAGACAATTGAACAGATTTTGATGTCAGGGGCGGATCCGTTAAGGGGGGGGGGATTTTTTCAGAGACAATGGGTCAGAAGTCCGCCTTATGACCCTCAGTAGGGGTCCACTGAGTAAAGCCCTTGGAAGCTCCTAAATTTTAGAGATTCAATCTAATAATAAATTTTCATAGGTCGCTTAGCTCCAGTACCACTACACATGCACACATTTTAGTATCAATTATCATCAAATGATTCACATTTTTCATCAGAAATTTTTTTCTAGTCAAACTTATTTGCTCGTTATTGAGTTGTGGTTTGAACGCATATACTTATAATTCTTGGATTTGAACCACCACCACAACCTCCCACCTTCATTGCGAGAGAGGTCGTCTCTCGCATCATTGCTTGTTTTCTCGTTTTTTTTTCTAAGAATCAATAGATTTGCAAATGTTTTGAGGAAATATAAGCTAATAAAATACATGTATAAAAAAACAGTCACATAAATTATTTTCAGTATTTTAATGTAAAAAAAAAAGATATGTGAGATTACCATACAAATAATAGATAAAGGATGATGTGACATAGGGCCCCATTAAATTGACAAAAAATTAAATATCTAAATTTTACTCTAATTTTTGCATGCATTTAATCACTGATATGTATATCCTCATAAAATACTACTTTTACCGAAAATAGAAACATGATTTGGAAGATATATGTCTTTCTTTTGAGTAGGGGTACCATGTTTACATCCAATTCCCATTGAAGTTTGGCCCCGCCCCACTCTTTGAAGCCCTTAAAATATACGAGCGCAAGTAGGTACATTTTTCTCCTTTGGCTGGTCACTGTCTTTTATTGAAATCTACCTATATGTGAAAGGAGAAAAATGTACCTAACTGCGCTCACATGTTGTTTTTAAAAAAATTGTAAAATCTAGCTGGCCTTTCCTACGAAAGCCTATTAGGAGCAAACTACGGTAAAAAAAAATTAAAAGGCGTTATAACGCGAAAAAAGGCGTAATAACGCAAATAAAGGCGTAATAACGCCTTTCAAAAAGGCGTTATAACGCGAAAAATTAAAGGCGTTATTACGCCTTTCTAAAAGGCATTAATACGCCTTTTTTTGAAGGGCCATTAATATATCTTTGACAGGCCCGTGCTTTTCAAGTGGGGGGGGGGGGCTCCCATAAAATTGACAAACAAATAAAAATAAAAAAAACAAAAAACAAGAAGCCCCCCCCCCCCGAACAAAAATAAACTGCCTAAACTTGCTCTAACTTTTCGGTAAAACTTTTTTAAGTGCAATGACTTGCCCGAGTTTAACCATACTGCAACAAAATGTTAAGGGACCAAGCAATCAATAAATGATTTTTTATATTTAAACTATAGCAAGACTATTCTCCCAAAAAGTGGGGTGGGTGAGCCCCCCCCCCCCCCCGCATTCGTACTACCGGCCTGTTTGAAAAGGAGTTATATCCAAAAAATGGAAGGGCGTTATTTTAAGATAGTAAATATATGAAAGATTGAACCAAAGCCATCTTTATTTATGCAATATTTTGATTATAGTTTTAATATTATGAATTATATTATAAATTATAGTATTTTCTATATTCCTGCACATCTCGCAGACAGTTGTTTGCATTTTGCATGCATATTAAGAGAAGTCAACACTCTACTTTTGAAAATCCAGGATATAGGCAGAACCAGCTTTGGGCTTTGCTAGCCACGTATTAAAAATTCATGTCAAATTTGAAATATTTTTCTCTCCTCTTGGAAAAAAACAGGCAAACTATTTGCATAGGTATAATGAGCAATTAACCTTCAACAAATTTCTGAAATCGGTGCACCTTGGTAGAGGCGTCTGGCATCAGAGAAGGACTAAGTTGGTTTAACACTGAAAATATTTTACACATTCAAAAATCTTTTTTCTTGGAAATCTAATTATAATCAGCCCCCAGGATGGGCTAAGTAAGTCATGTATTGAAAAAAAGAGGCGTAATAACGCCTTTTGGACAGGCGTAATAACGCCTTTTAAAAGGCGTAATAACGCCGTTTGGAAAGGCGTTATAACGCCTTTTGGAAAGGCGTAATAAAGCCTTTTGGAAAGGCGTAACAACGCCTTTTGAAAAGGCGTAATAACGTCTTTTTTCGCGTTATAACGCCTTTTCGAAAGGCGTAATTACGCCTTTATTTGCGTTATTACGCCTTTTTCCGCGGTATATGAAAAGGTGTTATTACGCCTTTTTCGCGTTATAACTCCTTTTGAAAAGGCGTTATAACGCCTTTTATTTTATTTTTTTTTACCGTAGTTTGATCCAAATAGGCTTTCGAACTTTCCTATTACGAACAGATCGACGAAACTATTTTTTTCTGACGTAAGAATAAATTCATATGCTAATCGAGGCACTGGCGATACTTTCTAACTGACCAATCAGCTAAATGAGTTGCATAACTATAGTGAGTACCACAAAAAATACCAAGTTCATTTTATGCTTGGAAAAAAAGATTGGGTTTTTTAACCTGATTTCCGATAAACATTTTTTATGCATTTGAGTCACAGATTAGACACGGTAAACATGCGGTTCCATGCGTATTATTATGTATAAATAGCCTTGGCTGACCATTAAAAGTTTTAAATGTAGTAGAGATATTATGTAAATTAACCACGTGCCTGTGATAAAATGTAAACATATAGAAAACCAGCATGTTTTGTCGTTCTGTATTGGACAATTGTTCTCGGTAAGCGACTATGTGCGAAATAATAACAATAGCCATATAAGGTAGATTCCTCAAACATGCATATCCCTCTGTTGTACTAAGACCCGCCTATTCTATTTTCATTAAAGAACCTATTGTCACAAACCAGGCCGAATTTTGCTGTCATAGGGTAAAAAAAATCATAGATAATGCAGTAATCCTTATAATTAAAATTTGTGGGAACTATTGAAACTATTCAAAAGGCGTCGTATTTATTCACTCATGTATGAAAACTATCAAAATCGTTGTAGATTAAAAATAATTCGTCGTAGAAAAAGGGGCCCCAGCTGATAGCAGTTATGTCACATCATCCTTTATATACCAATACCTTTATCTATTTTAATTATTGCTTAAAAATTTCATTCACATTAAAACAATACTTATTGAACTAAAAAAAAATAAACACTTAAGTTACTTTTATCGCTACGCGACAACAACGTTATCTGACGTCTAGATGACGTTACTTTCATAAAACAGTACATCCACAAATCTATTAAGTCTGTCACAGGCATTTTTATTTTCATATTCTTTAATAGCTCTCACTGCCAGCCTTTAACCTCTCGCTTTGATTTGTGTAATTAAAACTATTCTAACTGTTCTCATATTCATTCCGCTGTGCATACATCGTGCAACATAATGTAAGAGAAGAGGGACTAACGTAAAAGGTTTACGAGGCCTCAGGACACTTTCTTCCTCGCTCCTGATAAAATGCTTGAAAGGTTAATACCTGAGTTAACGTCACTACTTGACGTTAGTTATTGTAACTACGAACAAAATATATTCGAAAAGTGACATAAAATACCTTTTTAAAGAGGTAGTCAAAAATGGAGAGAGACGAGGTAGAAGGAAGTGTCTGGAGGAAAATTCAACCTTATAAACGTCACCTACTCCTGCATCTGACTCAACAGATGAAAATTAACACGCAGTGGAATGAACTTGAAATGAAATTTAAAACATTTCAAATAATTTCAGTAATACAAAAAGAGACGTTAAAGCGAAAATTAGAAGTGAAGATTATGATAAAACATGGAATTCCAAATGCGTGTGAGAGATTTATTTGTGGATTAAATGGAAACAAGTTCCAAAATGTTACATCATCTATTCATCGGTAAGATTGTTGTCGTGTGGCGATAGATGTAAGATAAAGTTTTGTTTTTTTTGTATTTCAAATGTATTTAAATGAAATTTTTAAGCAACAGTCAAAATAGATCATGACTTCTCAATATTTAAGATTTTCTAGCACTCGTGAGTAGTTTTCCAATAACAAATTGATACATACATGTAAGTAGTACATTGGAAGAAATCTAGCTGATACCTTAGCGTAGGTAAGGAGGTATTCTTTTAGAACTAAAAGGCGTTGCAATTTATTTAATAACCATCACTTCCTGATTGCTTGGAGTCAAATGCAGATGTATTTTTTTGTTTGTAACGTCATTTTTTAAATTCTTCCGTTTAAAGCTTATAATGTATTGCAGTGTAGTAAACGTTCACTTAAAAAGAACAGCTTGTTTTATAACTCATTGACATTAACAGCATTTAAAATACCACTGATGAGGGTAAATTCATAAAACATTAGACTGTTTGGCATTCAGACATTTACTTCTCAATTGCTCTAATGTACTCATTAAACCTCAATTTAAAAAAATACTTTGGGCTATTATGTATTCTATTTACTTTGAGAAAGATGCACTTTGCTAACATTTACTCAAACATCGTCATACACCTTTTTACATTCAATATGTATTTTTTCTTTTAAAGTTTGTTTAAAGTTTTTTTTCTTTCTAAATACCATTACACAGACAGGGTGGTCAGAAGGTAATGCTTTTTATGACGTAACATATATATATATATATATATATATATATATATATATATATATATATATATATATATATATATATATATATATATATATATATTAGGGATGGCAATTTGTAACCGGTTAACCGATTATTCGGTCGGAATGATGGCAATCGATTAGAAAATCTGTAATCGGTTAATCAGGATAAAAATTAAAATCTTTGTTCAATTGAACACATTTTTAAAAAAAAATATTTAAAAAAAAAAAGAAATCTCTACATCACAAAGAATGATCGTTTGATCGTTTAGGATTTAACGGATCTAATTTGGACGTACATGTAATTATGAATCTCCAGATTGAGACCGTAGCGTAGTTGGTCAGTTTTTGTAGTGTTAATTACTATGAAAACACCATGTCGTTTACCCGACTGTCCTGTAATTCTTTAATGATAATAATTGAAATATTGAGCAATGTGAATTTACGTTTTGTCGTTTTCAGTTTTTAATCCAATTTATTAAACAAACATTGTAAATTAAGGTCAAGATCTAATAAATGAAAAGAGCCTACAGATTTCTCAAACTTGAGAAATAAATTCCTTTTATGATGCTTTATAACTATAGCTCGGTCAAATAAGGTGTATTGGGGCATAATTTGCAAGAAAACAAGATGATAAACCATCTCGTAAACTGTCATTTTCAATGAAAAATTAAGAAAGCCAGTCACGAATATGGGAGTTTTTTTTCCATATCAGACGAAGGAAATGTATTCAGATTGCCTACAGTCTCTCAGAAAACGGTAATTTGTATGTTCTTAGCCTCTTCTTTAAAATAATGTAAAATTGAATATAGATATTGGGACTTTTCACATGATTTCAAATTGAATGCCATGAAAATACTTTATTTTCTATATAATGCTATTGGAGATGTTAAGTACGCGA